TGTCTTCTGGGGAAACTTATGATCAATCGGACCTTGATGCTCTCGTTGACCAGTTGCCACCTCCCTTTTTACTTCTGGGAGACTTAAATGGACACAACCCACTCTAGGGTGGTGCTGATATTGATGGGAGGGGTCGTTCCATAGAGCATATGCTTTCGGATCACAACCTTTCTCTCTTCTATACTGGAACATATACTTATTTTCATGCACCTAGTCAGTCTTTTACTGCCATTGACCTCTCGATTTGCTCCCCTTCACTTTTTACTCACTTTTCCTGGATGGTCGACAGTGATCATTTTCCTGTCATACTGAGAGAGGTTGGCCATGGTCGATGCCACCCGACCCGAGTGCCACAGTGGAAGCTGGCCCAGGCTGACTGGCCATCTTTCACCTCTCTCTCTCTGAACTTGATCCTGCCTTTGTCTGTCTGCCATCAATAGACAATTGTGTGGTGGCAGCGACTGACTGTATTGTACTATTTACACTGATTCTCTTAGGTCTCTACTGTCCCTGGAATTGCTTAACGTTAGTTCTCACCCTGTTCTCGTCGATATTCAACACCAATTGGCCCACTTTTCTCTACTATTTCCATCCAGTTTTTCTGGATCCCTGGACACGTCGGTATTCACGGGAACGAGCTCGCTGACACCGCAGCTAAGTCCGTCTGCTCTGGTGCCATCATGGCCGTGCCTGTCCCATACATGGACTACGGTCCTGTCTTCAAGGCACGGCTTCATGCCAGTTGGCAATCGACTTGGAGTGAGCAACGCCATAACAAGCTTTTCCACATCAAACCTTCTGTTGGTCTTTGGCTGTCTTGTTTCCATAAGGATCGGAAGGAGGAAGTAGTCCTGGCAAGGCTACACATTGGTCATAGTTTTTAACCCATCATTTTCTTTTATCAGGTATTGACCCACCGATGTGTAACCATTGTGACACTAAAGTCACAATAGCCCACATTTTACTGTCGTGCCGTCGTTACGACCGTGAGCGGCGTCACCATTTTAGACACTTTTTTTCTAAAAGTTTACCCCTTACGCTGGACAGCGTCATTGGTAATGGTGACGCTGTCCGATTAGATTGTATTTCTAATTTTTTACACACTATAGGTCTTTTTAATTCTATATAAACCTTTTATCGACATGTATTGGTTTTAACTCGCTGTAATTTACTTTCATTGTTTTTACCGGTTGTTTGGCGCAGATAGCCTCGCTGCTTTGCGCCATAAAGCACCAAACAACCAATCTGCTGGACCTCCTGTTATTCTGCAAAACCTACCTTCTTATTGTTATGGGAAATTTGTGCACCTGAGAATACAACATGGAATGAGGTGCTGGAGTTTAAGAGGAGAATCAATGATTTCATCAAAAATAAGTTATAGATTTACATTTTTGCTTTTTTTTTCTTCTAAAATGGTTGAGCAAGGGCAACAGTGAAGAAACAAATAATCCCTGGTTGTCTGTAGGTTATTTTATGTACTATCTTAATCCATCAACCACTTTGCAACTTTTATGCTTGACAATGCATTTACTGTAATAGTAACTAATTTTGTACCATATTTCTAGATTCATGGATAGAAAAATTTTCATTACGCAATATATTTTGTTAAGAAATTCTAATACCTACAAAGAACGTACAAATTATGTAAATAATACAATAATTTAACTTTTTCCATTAAACCCACTTCCTTCTGTAGATCGTGGTTAGGTTTCCTGTGGAGGGCATAAAAACAGATAGCTCACTGTGTACCTTAATATATTGTTGCGTCAGCAGAGGTCACGTGACTAGTATCACGCCACGTCGTTCTCGAACATTCACGTCCTTTCCTTAAATCTCGGGATCCTTCTAGATATAGTGTAGTCTTGTATATATAAGACGGTCATAAATTGACGGCAACAATGTGTGTGTAATTGAACAGAGTATTGTTGAGTCGAGCACGTGAGACGTTCGTTGAGAATTATAGCGCGACTGTTGAAATTAAGTGTATCGCAAAGTTATATTCAGAAAGAATAAACCATTTTTATTTAAGAAAGGACTTCCGTCAGTAAAGTTTCTTCGGGAAGAATTTTTACGGAAAATTAACAAACGAACGGAGACGTAACAATTTGAAACAAACATTTTTTTAAGTCAAATTATTTAAGAGCTTTCTACTTATAGTTCTTTTTAATTTTTATACCAAAAAGGTAAAAAAATGACAAGCAGACACAATAAGGTGTAAAACTGTTGTAAGTGGTTCTTTCATTGCACTGGTTCTTTTACATTATTTGGTGAAAATAAGTCCAGTTCACAATACGATAACAATTAACTTAGCTTATTCCTTCTTGTCAATTTGTATAAGCCACCTTCATTTGCACACTATGGCCAGGTGGTTAGGGCGCTCGACTCGCAATCTGAGGGTCGCGGGTTCGAATCCCCGTCACACCAAACATGCTCGCCCTTTCAGCCGTGGGGGCGTTATAATGTGACGGTCAATCCCACTATTCGTTGGTAAAAAAAGTAGCCCAAAAGTTGGCGGTGGGTGGTGATGACTAGCTGCCTTCCCTCTAGTCTTACACTGCTAAATTGGGGAGGGCTAGAGCAGATAGCCCTTGTGTAACTTTGCGCGAAATTCAAAACAAACAAATCATTTGCACACTGTTGTAACTTGTGGTTGTAGGCCTAAGTTTACAAGCTGATGGTGCTACGATTAGCGTAAAAATAAGCTTTCTTTTAAAATTTATCTTCTAACCGATCGAGTAAATACATACGCGGCAACTTACACTGATCCAAATTATTTACTGAAACAAATACTTTACCGAATGACTGGTACTCTACTATCTAAAAAAACAGTTACTCAATACCTCACTGATTTTTATATTTTTGATTTAGCCTTGTTTCTAGATGCTTTGGAAATTCTCTCAATCATTAATAGTCACGAATATTCTAGGTCTTAACACATAGCGCCCTCTAGCTAACAGCTAAATTAAAACATCGAAAATGTAGTTTCATTTCAGTGATAATTTTAAGAAGCAGTTTGAATGTTAGGATTTGCGAAGTAGCAATGTGCATGTAAAATATTAATCACGTCTTTCTGAACAACTTAGACTGAGAAAATGAGTTATATCAACGTTTAGAAAAGGAGTTTAGTTATAAGCGTTCCTGTGCGTGAGTTTAAATTATATGAATATTTAAACAGGTACTTAAAATAAAATCCCCTTTTCGAAAATCGAAGCAATCATGGCGTCAGATGTGTTGAATATTAACGTTGGAGTTTTAGGTCATATTGATAGTGGAAAAACAGCTCTTGCTAAAGCTTTAAGCACAACTGCCAGTACTGCCGCATTTGATAAAAATCCTCAAAGCAAAGAAAGAGGTATTACTATTGATTTGGGATTTTCATCCTTTCAAGTGGATTTTCCAGAATGTCTTCGAGATGAAACGACAGCGAACACGAGGTCTCTTCAGTTTACGCTTGTCGACTGTCCTGGGCATGCTTCTCTAATTAAAACCATTATTGGAGGTATTTACTACTAATACTACGTAATCCTATGTTTTTGTATTAGCTGCAAAAAAGGAAGATGTTAAAAACATTTTACAACCGAGAATTTGACAGTCTCTAAACTGTTTTTAAAACAAGAAAGAAAAGTCACAATGCTACATAAATAATTTCAAGTAGAAGTAGAATATTTATGGAGTTTTGACTTTGAGTCATTTTAATTCACCACATAGACACTAGAGTCAGTTCTCTCTCTCTTCAAACACATACAATACATATATATAATCACAAGTATCTATTTTAACTTAACTATAACGTCTATCTGGAGAACATAACTTATATTTGTGGTATTACTTAATTAAATTAAACTTGAGTATCTTAGTTGGTTGGGATTAAAATTTTTTTAGGTTTTATTTCTTTAGCCTGAAGTTCAGGTATATTTATATGTTGAATATAGACAGTCAGAGATAAGAGGTGGGGTTTATAGGAGATGATAGTTTCCAGCGTTGGGTTATATTTCAGAAATGTGGACTTGATTGCAATTTTAATGAGGCTCAGAAGGATACAGTGCATTGTATTTACAAAGGTTGCTTGCTTGGGGATAAATGAAACATATTTTATAAAAGACTGCTGTATTACTAATAGTAAAAGAGAACAGCATATTAGGAGTAGAAATCAAAGAAATATATAGACGTATAGTAATAGGTGCTTCAGTAAATATGTGAGAATGAGATTATTGCACTATTAATAATTAATAGTATCAGTATTACTTAAAATTGTAGTCCAGAGATAAGTGTATTGGAACTTATACTGTAAGTTATATGGTGAGAATGAGAGCCCTGGGTTTACACAGGATGCACAATAATAAAAAGGTTAAAGCTACAGAGACCAGTTTATTTACCCTAAAATGCATTTGAATGTTTGTCTCAGATATGCAACATAATGCTGACAGTTGTTTGTGTGTATTAGTGAAACTTGGCACTTCTTAACTTGAACTTAAAAGATGCTAGGAATAGTTTTGGTCTGTTCCTTGAAAATGACAAGCTTCATCTGTGGAAAATACATGCGTGTATAAATGGCTCTTGCACATTGTTTAATCAATATTGTATACTACTTCCATTTCTATCTAACTGTCTTGACACTTAAGTTCACATTATATCAGTTTCTTGACAACTTGTTATATGCTTGGATGTGAGTCACATCATAAAACTCATCATTTCCTTCTGCTGATGGCCTTAGATAAACAATGATCAACGAAACAAAATGTCATCAGAATAAGCATGTGAAAACTGACTCCATGTTAAGAACATCAACTTAAGTTTTTATTTTTAAATTAATAACATTTCAAGAAATACAATGTCTCATAACATTGTTACTTTTTCTAATTTATTTTTTCATTTCTTCAGGAGCTCAAATTATTGACATGATGATGTTGGTGGTTGATGTGACAAAAGGGATGCAGACTCAAACAGCAGAATGTTTAGTGATTGGTGAAATTACATGTGACAAAATGATTGTTGTTCTTAATAAAATTGACCTTCTTCCTGCTGAGAGGAAACTGAGCATGATTGACAAGGTAAATGTAGTTGTTCTTTACTCTAAATTACTTAAAATTGTTTTGGTATGAAAAAAGCTATTTAAATTCTCAATGGTTATTATCAGTATCGGAAAGTATGTTTCTTTTTTAAAAAGTTTCTTTTATTCATATTATAGACTATTTCATTCTAAAATAAGACAATACAGTAAAGTTACACATTAGCAAATTGAAAATTATGTATATATATATATAAATTAATCTTGTCTTCATTTCTCTTGTGGTCTTGTGTTATTGTAGCTCAAACTATGGAGAATGTTAGGGGAAACATCAGCTGCATGACAATTTTTTGTTTAAAGACAGTTTGGTGGTTTGAAGATTTAGAAAAAAAGGTGTTTGAAAATAACTTAAGAAAAAAAAGATAAAATTATTGCACGTAACTTTTGTTTATCTTGCCAAGGCAGCATTCCTTACCAACTGTGACGCATCAGCTTGTTCTGCATTATTTTCCCCACACAATCTCTCAAATGATAAATTATGGTGGGGGGGTGGGGGTCATACTTTTGCTATTCTTAGTTTAGGATGCTCACTGTAACAAAGTTTGAGAACCACTGCTCTATGTTACCTGTCTTCTAACTTATGTTTTTATAGTTTGTTAATATGTATTATCAGAAACATTGATTTTAATAAGTAATTTTAACATATGTCTTTGTCACACCTTGATCTTGGGTATTGGTAACTACTACCTGAGTTTCTCATTTAGAAAATTTATGCTTATCATAATTGTGTACAAACACATTTATAAGCTAATTTTTGCTACTAGCTATCCCTTTGAAGATATTTGCTTTCATCATACTCATTATAGTGAATTTTGAATTTTGGTATATATATATATATATAAGGAATGACCTTTGAGAATTATATATCTTTCTTTTACTAAAATATAATTTTCCAAAATTCAAATTAACACTGTAACAGGTTGTATTTTGGCCATATACTGAATATCTGGCTACCAAATAGTTGATATATTTAGTTAAACAAACACAAACGGTTTCATTAGTTTCACAGGACCCTGAAACTGTATAATTAAATACAAAGCTATGAAATTTTGAAAAACAGGGTAAACAAATTACAAGCTGAATTGGATGTAATAATAATGACAAAGGATATGTAGTATTGTAAGTTTTCACCTGCACACTCACTTGATCTTTGTAAAACCAGAGGTTCTTGGATCTGATATGCAGAAAAAGAATTATGGTGCTTTATTGCAGATGAAATGAGAGAGAAAAGACATGGTATTGAAGTTAAAATTAAAAAGAGTGCTTTATTTCTTAAAGCAAAGAAAATTGCAGTGCATAGGTGATTGTCAGAATGGTAGGATTATTGCACATAAATTTATTAGCGATAAATGATGAAAGTTAAAATAGCAATACACACAATCAGCAAGTTGAATTATAGCAAAACAAGGATGGAACTTCCATAGCATGTTCAGAAACACTAATTGAATTTCTCAAATGTCACAGTTGATCTTATTCTGAGACTCTCAAAACCTTATGCAAAATACACATTCTTTTTAACTGATTAGTTAGAGAAAAGGCAACAGAATACAGCATTGTCTGTTTCATGATAGTCTCAAGGTATCCTCCAATTGCAAATAAAACTATTCCATGAAATGAAAGATAAATTCCTTGGTTCGTCAAAGTACATCTAACATCTTAGGCTGAATTTTGCATACAATTACAACCAGATTTATTATGTTCCAAAGTTAGAACTTAGAAAATTTTAAGTAGTTTTCAGGTAAGAAACATATGATAGAAGAGTAAAATATTTAGTACATTCATTCTACAGCCTTCCTCCCCCTTCCCTGGGGCTTGTCCCCAAACCAAAATTAACTTAAATTTAACATAATTTAATTAAAACTTTGACAGTGTGACCCAGTGCAATCAGATTGAAGTTACAACTGTATGGTAAGATAGGACTCAAACATCACAGAATAGCACAGTTTGTGAAATATGGTACTACCCTGAATGAACTACAAGCATGCACATGAGAATCACAGATGCAATAAGTGTACTCTTATAACACAAAATACTAACTTATGAATTAACTTATGACAAAACTAAAATAGAAATGATATAAAATCAACATTACAATAAAATAAAAAAGGAATTTTTGTTCTGAAATTGCTGTATGTGTCGATAAGATTCCTGCTCATAATAACTTTTTTTTTTATTGTCGGATTTACACTAAAGATGACCAAAAAGATGCAGAAGACACTAGAGAAAACAAAGTTTGCAGAAGCTTCAGTTATTCCTGTAGCTGCAAAACCAGGTGGACCAGAGGTAGGAGCTTGGTAACTTCTGTATTAAAAAGATCTACCCAAAATAAACTGTTTAACACATTGTCAGCTGAAATTAAATAGTAGTGATACTAAAATATATAACAGAGATGGTCATGACCATGTGCCAGGAAACATTGATAAAAATTATGCATTCATTATACTATAAAATTCAGAATTATTTAACCATTACCTCAAATAAAACATTAATATTTAGAGAATGTTAGACATAATTAATGAAATTCTACTATCAACAGCAATCTAACACTTTTATTTCTTCATGAAAGAATAATAACAAACCCTTTTAGACTTTAGAAATATTTTGACAGACTAATAATCAGAATGTCTGGCCAGCAGGTACCAGTTAAGTCATAACCAAAACTAAATGGTATACATGGGTGCTGATTTTTAATGAAAAATCTTGGAATACTCTCACTTCCATGAAAAATGTAAAAAAAAATACTCTTATTGAGTTTGTTGCTATGACAGTTACATTTCTGGTTACACTTGCACTCAGTTTGATAATTATCATTATATTATTATTATTAAAAACTAATTGTTTGTAACGAATGTAGCTTTAATTTATAACTTTTTTTTTTCATCATAGAATAAATATTTTTTTTTTTAGTTTGTGCTGGGATGTTCAAAATGCATTCTCTAAAGACCTACATATTATCACAGTTAGGCAGTGTTGTAAATGGTTTTCAAATATAATTTCTCCTTTACTTTTGGAGTTAAATTTTATGATTTTTGCAGAGATAACATATTTTAAATCAGTCTTTCACATGGTAAATAAATTTTCCCTATTAATTTTTCTTAAAAAAACATAAATAGTCTACCAAAGGTCTATTGTCATAGTTAGGCAATGTTGTAAAAAATAAAAGTGATTTTTCAATTATCATTTGTAATTAATTTTTTGAGTGAAATTTAATAATTTTTGCAGTATTTTTCATATTCTTACTTGTAAAACAGCGTAGCCTTTCACATAAAATGTACTCATTTCTGTAGAATTTGGAAAAATTCCATGCGGATTTCATCTGGGTCTAGTCATAACTAAGTGAAAAGCTATAATTCTGATAACACTCGCTTTAACTTGACTTTACTAAATCTAGAAATTCATACTTTTATCATGGATTGATTATGCAGTCATATGCATATTATGTAGAAAATGCTGCAAGCTTGTAATCACATGAAACACAGGGCTCTGTATGTATCATAATATGAAGAATCAATTACAAGTCCATCTTATATAAAACACAACTGTTATAGATGTTCTGTGAATGACTAGATTCAAATGTCTAACTTTTCAGCTATTACACTTAAACTTAAAAAAATTCAGGAAAGGAAAGTATATTAGTAAAAAATTTTAAATGTATATTGAGATGTGAATATGCTTATTGTGAGACACCATTGTCTTTGGCAAAGATAACAAAGATGAAGAGATGCAATACTGATTCCTCACACAACTCTCCCACTGCCACAAAGAAAATATCTCAATTTTTTTATATGATCTCAATGTGGATTCTTTCACAGTTTATCTTTCATAGGATCCAAACATCCATCCATGTGTTTGCCATGGGTGGATGTTTGAAAGAGGAGGAGATAATCCTGGTGGTTGAGTGGTGTCTGGGTTGTGTGCTTGTTCATTGCAACATACTACTCTGGCCTTTAATTCCTGTTGACGGGAGACCCTGTGGTGGCACCTGAGGGTCAGTTGGCTTGTCAAATGTGATTAGGGTCAACTAATTGCCAGTATTGGATGTCCACAATGAGCTGTTGTAGACATTATGCTTAATACTGGTGTTTCAATATAATTCCCACCAAACCCAGTTTTACAGTGTAGTATATCTCCTTGTAGGACTCTATGTTGGGTGGTTCTCTTCTGTTTATGGATAAGAAAATTCCAGTAAAAAGTATGTGTGTGCAACTACAATTTAAAGACTGAAGCACACTCTTAACATCTTCAAAAATTCTTAAAATAAGCCCCATTAAATTCCCATCCCTGACTCGAAAATTCTGCTGGTATTTCCAGTCAAGGAGTATCAGTTGTCAGTTGAATTTTCATCATAAAGGTATATGAACCTGCCATGGTTCTCATTTTGATGCTTATATCACAATGTCCACTATCTGAACTGCCATATATTCCTAACCTCTCTGTTAATTTCACTTTCAGTGGTTTGGACATTCATAAAACATCTTGTCACAGTACTTTAACTTGTGCTTATAATGATGACAAAGGACACAGTAACTGTGAAAGCAAGTTTGAGCCACACTGTATTAACTGCTCTGGTTCCTACCCATCTTTACTTTTATCATACCTAAACTTAATCAATCTAAGAGAAAGAAGTACAATAAGTTAAGACCTTAAATGATATCTCCTATCCAGATCATATCACTTCTTCATCAACAGAGTTATGCTGCTGCATTATGTTTTACTGCCAAATGGTAGTGCAAACAGCTATCCTTACTCCACCTACAGAGTCTTTCCCTGATCACTTAAGTGTTCTTTTGCCCTTCATGGACAAACACTTAGATAAATCATTTTTTAGCCTCATTGCTGTGTCTACCAGAATTACTTGTTAATGATCAGAGCTAATGGAAAACTGTTCAATCATGCTCAATTGAATCTTGTCTATCTGGTGGGACCTGCCCATCCAGTCTAGGACAGTGTCCGTGAATGTTGATAGACCTCTTCAAGAGAAAAAGTTTAAAAAAGTGGTAAAAGTCAAAGCAGAAATGCTTCTCACATATAATTTCTTACACAGTCTAGGTAAGAATGACCACATTATTACAGTTGTGGTTTTTGTGCTAATGTAAATGACATTCAGATTTTTGATAGATTCTTACCATCCTGTGTGTGTGTATCTATTTACACAAGACATTTCTAAAAACTGCTGTTACTGTCACCATTACACTTAATGGACAAGTTCATGCATGGGTAGCCTTGCTAACCTGCATACTCTCTCCACAAATGTGCCACTTGCTATCCTTTGGAGGTTGTTACCATCTATGTCTCTGATGGACATACCTGGACATGTTCTCTATACCTGTCTTCTGGAGAGGAAGCTTTTTATCTTACTTAGCAGGTACTGTCTCATTTCATTATCCTGGGATAATTAAATGGAACAATTCACAATTTTGCTCTTCTTAGTACAAGTATTCTTATTTTCTTGTCCAAAGTTTGACACTTACTGCCATCAATATGGACATTTTTTCTCCCTGTGTCCTCCCTTCTTTTTCTTGAGAGATGGATAATGACTGAAGAGAAAGTGATCATTTTCCCATCATCCATCTCTACACTGAATACTAATGATAATCTTGTAATTTATAGTTTTAAGTTTGTTTATTTAATAAAATAGCATTCTTTCTGGACTGGGTGTCAATTTATTTTAATATGATAGGCTGTCTATATAATCAACAATACATTCCAGAGTTCTTCAGCATCTATGTTGTCTCTCTTTTTCTGCCATAGTAAAATACAAAATGATTAATAGAAGAAAAATATCTTGGACAGATGAACCAACCTTATCTTTCTACTTAATTAATGTTAAACTACCCTGAATAATCGCTAGTTAGATTTGAATTTTAACTTTAATTCCTTTTTTTTTTTGCAAAGGCAGGAGAAATTGCACCAGTTGGAATTCAAGACCTGATTGAAAACCTGATCAAACAGGCTTATGTGCCTTATCGAAAATCTGCTGGTCCACTCTTGTTTTCTGTAGATCATTGTTTCTCTATCAAAGGACAGGGAACAGTAATGACAGGAACAGTGATCCAAGGAAGTGTATCAGTAAATGATGTAAGTTACTGATACTTTTAACACAAATAATCTCTTCTTCAACCAGAGGCACCTCAGTGGCAGGAATCAGATATAAAAAATCTGGGTTTTGTATAATTTTGGTAAAACTTTTATAAGATGCAGTGTATGATGAGATATGAATATCACAATTTACAGTTTTCAAATTGGACAAAAATTGACCAAGTTATGACTGGCCACATCATCAACAGAAACTCTATAGTTAGTGAAAGTACTTCTTATTGTGTAACTGATGGAGCAACTATGTAGGCCTTCTTCTTCTTCTTTGCTCGTTGTTGCACCTGTTTTTCAGACCAGAGCCTTATAAATTTTCAGCAGATAGATCCAAGCCCTTCTAACTGTGACTGAAACTCTGCTACTCTTTGGCATGTCATCATCATCCACCATTGTTCCCTAAATTACTTGCATATGCAAGGTTCTAATATGTTTGATTTGCAACCTGTATAGCCACTGTGGATGTGATCACAAGGGACTTTTAGACATCCTTTGTTGGGGTAAATCAATCTATCAAGCTCAAAGATGCTATGGTGTCACTGAAAAATAGGTTTAGTGCTGACAAGGACAGTAATGATAGTAATATTAGTCTTGTGATAGATCAGAAGATCAAGAACAAGGTCTCCAACATCAAACAGACAATAGAGAAAGGTTGCATAATTTGATTTGAAAATTAAAAAACAATTAACTGAATTTCTTGTTCCTTGGCCTGCCACCCAAAAAACTCTACTTTGCCTCTAGTGAAGGAGAGATTCTTTGTTAAATTTGGGAACTATGATATTTTAGGCTCTTTTTTTATTTGTTCATAAAGTAAGTTTTTTAAAAAATCTAACTATGTGCTCAGCCCATAGCTTTATTGTACAACAACAAAATTAAAAGGTAATTTTGATAATTGAAATGTATGTTATGTAATGCTAATTAATTTACAACTTAAGAGGTTCATTTTATTGCTGATGTTATGTTGGTAAATTTTTAATGTACTCTCATTTCCTATTATTAAAGTAAAGTACATTACAATTTGAAGTGCTACAGATGCACTAAAGTATTAAAAGTATTATGCATGTAGCTTTAAGTTAATTGGATACCAAAATTATTTCATTAGTGATTAGAAATGTGCTGATTAATAGATGTTAATTGGTACCAATTACTATGAAAATAATTTTTTTTTATTGGTAAAAATATATAAACTTAAAAATTAACCAATGATATACAACTTAAACAAAAGTAGAAAGTTGATACCACAATGCATACTAATTATAGATCACATATATGAAAGTAAGGTATTTTTCTTTCACATTACACATTGTACAAATGAAGCAGTTATGATAGTAAATTTCTTAAAGATTTTCTTTGTCATTATGATTAAAGTTCTTTGACAAATGGATTGGTGAGAGAGAAAATTTGGGTGTTAAATTGAGGCAGTTGAAATAAACCTCTATGTGTGTTTTTGACTTAATTTAAGTGTTCAAGACCCTGTAATACATAAGTAATAAAAATGGAATATAACAGCACAAAGTTTGCACCATCTATAATTTTATGTCTTCAGTCTGCTGAACACATAAACAGTAGTTCATACCAGAGTGTCTAAAAACAAACATGAAATGTGTATGCAATTATCAAATTTTCTCCAGGATGGTGGAGATGCAAATGTTCTAGTCATACAGAGCACTGAATTACCTAACACCTACATTATTAAGTTATTTTGTAGCTGGTACCATTTGATCTGTAATTGACCATGGTGGTCTGGTTGATTAATCAGTAATTAATTTATTCTTTTTTAATAAAATTTTATCTGTGTAGACAATAGAGATGCCTTCCCTGAAAATGACGAAAAAGGTGAAAAGTATGCAGATGTTTAAAAAGCCAGTGGATACAGCCATACAAGTAAGTTGTTCTAATACAGCATTATGAATATTTGTGTGTATTGTGATAATGTCATATTGCCCAAATTGATTTTACATAAACACTTTATTCAAGAATGATATAAGAGAATAAAGTAATATCTTCTCTCTGTTAACTTTTATTTTACATTCATGTTTTACAACCTATTAGTGTCAGTTGTATATGTGTGTGTGTGCTTTTTAGTGTTTAAATATCTATGAGTACAAACTTCGTCAAAAAAATTTCAGCAACTAATTATATATTACATTATAGACTATGTTTAAAAATTATTCTGAAAACACGACACATTTCAAATTTTATCTTTCATCATGGATTGGTTTTAAGTCTGAGTAGAAATACAATTAAACAGTATTTGATTAAATCACTTTACTTCACTTATATCAAACATCAACTAAGTTAGTATCTTGGAGATCAGTGTGTGTGCATTGCAAACAGTAGGTCTGTTCCTGTCTTTTTATTGCTATGACAACACTTGTTTATGTGTTACAACTTGCATATATTATGTGCCATACTACAGATTAAGATTTAATGAAGCATTGGACTTGTTCAAACAAAATTAGATTGTTCATAAAATTATTTATCTCTGTAGAAGAATATTATAAAGATTTGTAGACACTAGATAGGGCCAACTACATTATTATTGCATCCTCCTCATTGTAGTTTTCAGGTTCCTAGGAAAGTAATGAAACTGTTTAACTCTAAAATGACTGGGTGCATCAACTCAACCCACATGTTGTATGATTTGTTTTATTACATTGCTAAAGAAAAATTCCTGGATAAAGTTTGAATCTTAAGATGAACTTTCTACAGATTATAGTTTCTAAATTCACAACTTAAAAAATTTGAAATTATGATACTTTTTCTTAAGAAACAACTTGGCCAGATACTCTATATCTAACCAAAAAAATACAATCAATTACATCTCTTGTACTCATATTTTCTCTGATAACTCAGTGTTTCAGTAAGACAGTTTTTTTTTCTTGGCCTGCTGATACACCCAAGTGTTTCTGCCCAAATCTTATTTCAAAGCCTGATCCTGTGTTATTTTTACCCATCATATTTGATAGCATTTTGTATACGTATGTGAACAAATGACTTCTTCAAAATAAGCAAAGCTGAGATATCCTGTCAAGTAATTACCTCTAATTTTATTCGTTTTTATAACTTGTACTATGTACATGCTTTAACCCAAATCATAAAATGTAGACAAGTAAAAGAAAGAGAAAAAAGGCATTCAGAAGTGAAACTGTATATAAAAGGAAACTTGCATAAATCTCTTTTTTTGTACATACTTATTGTTTTAAATCAACTTTTATTTGTGCATATTTAGCACTTAGTGGTGAAAACTTGAATAATTGACAAAATTTCTCAGGCTTCCGACACTTCCATTCTTGACAGTTGTTTTCTGTAGGCCAGTGGTGTGTATGTGTGTCCATATGTATTGTAAATAAACATGCAACTCTACTGATATATGGTTTTGAAAGCTTGTGACAAAGTAGTTTTTGTGTTTAAATATCAATTAAGATCACATCATTTTTCTCTCCCTCTCAACTTCTGTTTCAACAATTGCAACAGAAAAAGATGATTGCAACATTTTAAAATTTACCTTGGAAATGGTATTATATTATAAATCTACTGTATGTATCAAAATTACTTATGAATTTATGGAAATGTTTATTTTGTAAGCTGACTTGGAAATTTAAGTGCTTTTTGAATTTCTGTAATATAAGATATTTTACATTATAAAACATATTTATGCCGCTGACACTATAGCTATTTTTTGATCTTCAGGATTTCCACTCTTTGCCCATCCAAGCATTGAAAACGCTTGTTACAGTCTTTTATACCTCACTTGAATGCCCTTGGCAAATTCTAATTTGCAAAATTCTCCACCAACTTCAATGTGCCCTCCATCTTGGTACTGAATATAAGCACCTCATTCAGATAATGTAATCACTTTTTCTCAACAAAGCAAAAAAAGACAAAAACAAAACATATCGAAGGGTATGAATTCCTAAGTTAATGTTTCTACTATGGAGGCCAACCAGACCTCTTCTCTTCCACCTCTGATATCTTGTGTTTGTCAATGGCCAGGGGAAGGGTCATTCTGAGTCAAAGCTGTCCTGGATATGATCTGTTGCAAGATGGAGTCATATATGGAGACTGGGGGTGTCTCTCCGGGGGATTCTGAAGCGGCATTTGCAAATGATTCGGGACTATATGATCTGAAACATATTGTTTGCTGATGTACTTTGATTTGAAAGGATAAGAACTAAGAAATGCCAAAGTTTTCATCAAATTCATTCTTGTTTGTTCAAGCAGTCTTTTTAACAATGAACAGTTTTTTTTGTGCATTGAATGTTTTGGAACATTAACTACATCTAGTCAGTTTGTTATATAGAATTAGCTTCATTAATTTATAAGTTACTTTTTAGTTCTAGTATGTAGAGCTAGATCACTGATACTTGAATAGTTTTTAATTCACCTTTCTACCTGACTAATTTCTCTCAATATTTGTTGGCTTATATTAAAAACTTTAATCGTGTTGCCACAGCTTACATTATAGTTTTGTCAGTGAAAGGTATTAAAGTCTTCTGGATGTTGTTACTTTGTCAATAAATGTTTATTAGCCTTTGTTAATAAGGATCTAAGTATATTTTGGGCAAGTTTAGCCCCATTATACAGTGTTTTTAGTTTTTTAATTTTTTTTTTTTTTTTGCACTTCATTACTAGCAAAATCAGAGTTTGTGAGTCTTACAAAGATAAATTTTGAGATTTTTTTTTCATATAAGATGAATTTCTTCACTTCAATTACTTTGTGACTTAAAATACCAGAAGTTTCATAAGTTCTGTCAGTAAAAACAATTGTGACAAAAATGTTCATTTATTGTATGGTTCTGTTTAGCAAGTACCTGAAAAATACTTCTTTAAAATAATAACTAATTCTCACTAAATCCAATATGAGAATTTAATTATAAAATTTAGTTTCATTAAAATTACATCCTAAATTCAAAGGTGTTACTTTTAAGAAAATCACTGACTATTAAAGGGAGGATATTGTGTTTGTTTATAAATAACTGTTATATTTGTAGAATTTCTTTTCACTGCTAGGGTGGAAGAGTAGGAATTTGTGTGACTCAGTTTGATCCAAAAATGCTGGAAAGAGGAGTTGTATCTTCACCAGGAAGCATAACAGTGACATATGCAGCAGTTGCTTCAGTTAAGAAAATTCCCTACTTTAAAAGTACCTGTCGTACCAAAGCCAAGTTTCACATCAGTCTGTTGCATGATACAGTGATGGCAAAAGTCACCTTCTTTGGACTTGCAGCTAATATTATTAAAGAAAATTGTGACAATCAAACTTCAGATTTAAAAGAGAAGGATGCAGAAGATATTTCTTATTTTGACTTTTCCAAAGAATACAAGTACCAGGATGAATTATTTCCTGAAGGTTCAAGAAACTGTGAAGAAAAATTAGTACAGAATGAAAATGGTTTTGTTCCTATTCAACAGTTTGTTCTTTTAGAGTTTGAAAGACCAGTGCTTGTACCTCATGGTGCACTTTTCATTGGTTCAAAGTTAGATAGTGATATCCATGCTAATATTTGTCGATTAGCATTTTATGGATATGTTCAAGAGCTTTTCACTGACATCAAATATACAGAGAATGGCTTACCAAACTTAAAAATTTACAAACAAAAAATGAAAGAAGGAGTTGTTGAAAGGATTGTTAATGACCAAGAAGTGATTGGAAAATCACTTTTTAAAAAGGAAACAAATATTCAGACATTTATTGGTTTAAATATAAATTTATCAACTGGAGAAAGTGGAAAAATTGATGGAAGCTTTGGGCAGAGTGGAAAAATTAAAATCTATATTCCAGGTGAGTACTTAATGGATTGGGAAACTTTCTAATGAACACATATGTTCTGGTTGTGTTAGTGTACATTTGATTTTTATTATTTATTGTAATTTGTTTTTATTACAAAAGCATAAAGAGCATTTATGCTTACCTCCTGATAACTTTACTCAACAATGAATAAGCTTCTCAGTAGGATAGCTTAAAGCATATCCCAAGGTAATCTTCTTTGTCTCTAAAGGATTCTACTGGTTGACTAGTCTTCTTTGCCTCTAGAGGATTCTTCTGGTTGACTAGTCTTCTTTGCCTCTAGAGGATTCTTCTGGTTGACTAGTTTTCTTTTTATCTAAAGGATTCTTCTGGTTGACTAGTCTTTGTCTCTAAAGGATTCTACTGGTTGACTAGTCTTCTTTGCCTCTAGAGGATTCTTCTGGTTGACTAGTCTTCTTTGTATCTAAAGGATTCTTCTTTAGAATTATTTAGAGACAAAGAAGACTAGTCAACAAGTAGAATTATTTAGAGACAAAGAAGACTAGTCAACAAGTAGAATTATTTAGAGACAAAGAAGACTAGTCAACAAGTAGAATTATTTAGAGGCAAAGAAGACTAGTCACCAGTAGGATCCTCTAGACAAAGAAGACTAGTCACCAGTAGGATCCTCTAGACAAAGAAGACTAGTCAACAAGTAGAATTATTTAGAGACAAAGAAGACTAGTCAACAAGTAGAATTATTTAGAGACAAAGAAGACTAGTCAACAAGTAGAATTATTTAGAGGCAAAGAAGACTAGTCAACCAGTAAAATCCTTTAGAGACAAAGAAGACTAGTCAACCTTGTTGACTAGTCTTCTTTGTCTAGAGGATCCTACTGGTGACTAGTCTTCTTTGTCTAGAGGATCCTACTGGTGACTAGCCTTCTTTGCCTCTAAAGAATTCTACTAGTTGACTAGTCTTCTTTGTCTAGGGGATCCTACTGGATGTCTAGTCTTCTTCATCTGATGGATTCTACTTTTTGACTGGTCTTCTTTGTCTCTAGAGGATTCTACTTGTTAATTAGTCTCTTTTTGTCCCTAAAGGATTTAACTTGTTGTCTAGTCTTCTTTGTCTCTAGAGGATTTTATTTGTTGACCAGTCTTCTTCATCTAGAGGATTTTACTTGTTGACTAGTATTCTTTGTCTCTAAAGGATTCTATTTGTTAACTAGTCTTCTTTGTCTCTAAAGAATTCTACTTGTTGACTAGTATTCTTTGTCTCTAAAGGATTCTATTTGTTAACTAGTCTTCTTTGTCTCTAAAGAATTCTACTTGTTGAATAGTCTTCTTTGTCTCTAAAGGATTCTACTTGTTGATTAGTCTTCTTTGTCTCTAAAGGATTTTACTTGATTAGTCTTCTATGTCTCTAAAGGATTTTACTTATTGATTAGTCTTCTTCATCTGGAGGATTCTACTTGTTGATTAGTCTTCTTTCTTTCTAGAGGATTCTACTTGTTGATTAGTCTTATTTGTCTCTAGAAGATTCTACTTGTTAATTAGTCTTTTTTTTGTCCCTAAAGGATTTTACTTGTTGACTAGCCTTCTTTGTCTCTAAAGGATTCTATTTGTTGACTAGTTTTCTTCATCTAGAGGATTTTACTTGTTGACTAGTCTTTGTCTCTAAAGGATTCTATTTGTTAACTAGTCTTCTTTGTCTCTAAAGAATTCTACTTGTTGAATAGTCTTCTTTGTCTCTAAAGGATTCTACTTGTTGATTAGTCTTCTTTGTCTCTAAAGGATTTTACTTGATTAGTCTTCTATGTCTCTAAAGGATTTTACTTATTGATTAGTCTTCTTTGTCTCTAGAGGATTCTACTCCTTTATTAGTCTTATTTGTCTCCAGAGGATTCTACTTGTTGACTTGTCTTCTCATCTAGAAGATTCTACTTTTTGTTGATTTGTCTTCTATGTGCAAAGGATTTTACTTGTTGGCTAGTCTTCTTTGTCTCTAAAGAATTCTATTTGTTGATTAGTCTTCTTCATCTAGAGGTTTCTACTTGGTGACTTGTCTTCTTTGTCTCTAAAAAATTCTACTTGTTGAATAGTCTTCTTCATCTAGAGGATTCTGCTTGTTGACTTGTCTTCTTTGTCTCTAAAAAATTCTACTTGTTGATTAGTCTTCTTCGTCTAGAGGATCTTACTTGTTCACTGGTCTTATTTGTCTCTAGAGAATTCTACTTGTTCACTAGTCTTATTTGTCTCTAGAGAATTCTACTTGTTATTTAGCCTTTTTGTCTGTAGTGGATTCTATTTGTTAATTAGTCTTCTATTCTTCTAGAGCAGTGGTGTGCAAACTTTTTTATGGTGTTCCATCTTTCTAAACATGCACTTTGTTGACTCCCACTGCCTAACTTAATTGTGTATATACTGTACATGTCATTTTCATATTTTAGTTGTTGTTACTGTATTACTTACTACTAGTAATATTTGTTTGGTAGTTTTTAAAATTGTATCTTTAAATTTGTACATTCAGATATAATTTACATGCTTCTGTAGTCATAGTTGTGCATGCCCCACTGAATGAATGAATCTAATTGTATATCCAAATAATTTCAGATGGGCTTAAAGAATCAACTAAGTCTCTTCTATCAACAACCAAGAAGAAGGGAAAGGGCAAAGAAGAATTAGCCATGTCAGCACACACTAATGTTGACCAACATGTAAAACTTCAGCTGACTTTTAAAAGATATATCTACGATACAAAGAAAAGGATGATTCAATTATAACATTTGTTTTTAAAAGTGATATGTTTTCTTGTTATTGAGATATTCAAAGTCTATCATGTTAAAAGAATTATGAAAAGATTATGTATTAATTGACTTGATTTGCTTTATAGCAAAAAAAAAACTGAAATGATGAGTGGCTTGATATATAATATTTAATCAGCTTCAAGACTAAGTAGGTTCAACAAAAATAAATTATATTAGATTGTTCTTCTGATTTGGAATCCAAAAAAATACCACTTTTTATTATATTTTTGTGTGAACAGGCATCTGTCAAAAGTGTATAATATGCTTACAGTTCTGCAGTTTTAAAGCAGCATTCAGAAATATATATAAAAGTAGTAAATAAGTATTTTATTAACATGTATGGAAGTAAGCAAAATGAATAAAAATGAAACTACTTTTTGTACTTAGAAAACAGATACCGTGTTATTAGCTATTGATACAAGCACAAGATAACTTTTTCTTTGTACTTTCTGAACTAATTTATTGATACCATATACTGATTCATTTATATGTATAGTGGAAGTATGATTACAACACTGCTCATTTATATTGATATATATTATCACTGTTTCAGATTCTCTAGGGTTATTTAAATGGAAAGGACTATGTATTTTCCATTTGTAATTTTGCAGTTTTATTGATTAGCATAATTTGACACATTTCTGTGTAAAATTGTAATAATTCTTGCAGAATCCATTAGAGATACGCACAAAGACCCCATAAAATTAGTCACAAAAATTTTAACTTTAGTAATATGGCAAAATTGGTCCTTTAATAGATGGTCAATGTGTAAAAACAATATTATACTTGTGTGTCTAAGATTCTGAAACTAAAAGAGCCAATGTAATAATTAAATTTGTTATAATATTTCTAGAATCTAATGGTGCTGTATACTTTTGCAAAGAAAGTAATCAACTTTAATGTATATAATAAATGCAAACTTCAAATGTGTACATATGCAAATTACAGTTCATTTTTAAAAATAAAGTTAAAAAGTACTAACAGCATTTTATTTACATAATTGGCTTCTGTTTCAAGAGCTGTGGATGGTTCAACATTTACTTTATAGTTTTAAGTTTTATCTAACAAAAGGAGCCATGCCCTAGTAATTTTTTTTAATTTTGACCATGTAAGTCATTTAATTCAACAACTGCAGTCATATCTGTGTAGTTGATATTTTAGTTATCTCTCTCTTTGTTTTTTCTAAAGCCAGAAGTGTTCCAAACTCTCAAACTTGGTAGTGTTCCATCAAATATATATACCACAGTCATTTTCAATTTTTCCAGGAAGCAAAGTAGTGTGAAACTGTGAAATTGAATAAAAATTGAATAAAAAATATGCTGAATGTATAAAGAAAGAAAGAATTGTTTCTCATTTTCCAGGGGGGGGGGGGGGGTCAGTTTTGTTATAAACTTTGAAATGATTTCAAAATATGAAATTAGTCTCTCATAAGGTACCACAATTGCCTTAATATAATTTAGAGTTTTTGGCACTCATGAATTTTTACTACTACAATTTTTTTTGGGGGGGGGGGTCTGACTTTATATTGTTACGACAGTGGTGGTCACGTGACGAGTATTCTAGCAGATTCGCTAGTGTGTTACGACAGCGTTGCATCAACTGACGCTGGTAGCACGCGTTGAGAGTCTTAGAAGTTTCTAGAACAAGCAGTATTATCGTATATAAGTGCGCTAGACAGTGAGAGAGACAGACGGAGTCGAAGCAATAGTGGAGACAGAGACGTAGCGGAAACGAAGCAGGCAGAGAGAAAGAAAGACAGCGATTACGGTCGGCGGGAACTGAGGATAACAAACACAGAGATCGGAACTATAGTTGGCGGGGACGGACAATTAAGTCTAAGCGCTATAGAAAGTGAGTGAATTGTTGTGAACTATAGTGTGTGTAACTGTGAAAATTAAGTACATTACAAAGTTGTACTGAGGAAGAATAAACAAGTTTTATAAAGAAAGAACTTGTATCGTAGAAGAATTAACAAACAAACATTCAGAGACGTAACAATATCATACTTGGTTACCACATCATCTGAATAGTGCATTTCTTTCCTCAAAAATGTAAACTTAAAGAGCATTAATGTCAAATTTGCTTCATGTACTTTCTAAAATACACGTCTTAATCTAAGCTTTCCTCAAAACTTGCTGTCATGGCTATTACTTCATACAAGGAACAAAAACATTCAAAGTTTTGTAGGCCTGATGACACTCGACATTTTACAGACTAATAAAAGTGAAGGGCATTGAATAAATCAAGAAACATTTTATGAAACTCATACTTCTCTGATACTTGACAATAAGGACCAAGTGGTTAAGATGCTAAATTTGCAATCTGCGGGTCCGACTCCCCATTCACCAATCATGCTTGCCCTTTCAGCTGTTGTAGGATTATAATGTGAAATGAATCTCGCTATTCATTGGTAAAGAATAGCCCAAGAGTTAGCAGTGGGTGGTGAGGACTTGCTGCTTTCCCTCTTGTCTTTCATTACTAAATTATAGATGGCTAGTGCAGATTGCCCTCATGTAACTTTGTTTGAAATTCCAAACAAACTAAACCAACACTTGCCAATAAACAGTCTGCGAGTCCAGGGAGGAAAATCGCTTTCTCTGAACAAACATGTCTAAGGTCTTGTATATGTAGTTGGAAATGGGCACAGGTCCTTGACTGTAATTTTGTTATGAACTAAAACTACTGTACAGCATAAGAACAACTGGTGTCCTCAATGACATCTTTCTCAAGCATATTTGTTACATGTGCTTTTAAGTTTTCTAGTTTTTTTTTTTTTTTTTTGTCTTAGTGCCGTAGATATACTACTTGTTAATCTTTTTGTTATATTTTGGCATTTAATTTAATTATTTATTCTTGCAGAATAGTATATTTTGCTACATGTTTCGACCATGTTTGTTCAGGTTATATCAAGCTGGTGATACCAAATTCTGTAACACCATATCCTAAAGACCCTTGTACCACCTCTGTCACCGTTGGTCAATCCCATTGAAACGTAAGGGAGGGTATAGCTTCATGATACCATCTGACCTACCATTGGAGGACACAGCCATACAATCTATGGATATAACAGTTGTGATCTCCAAAGACTGACAAAGGAACTAAGACAGCTAAAGTGAAATAAAATTAGTGACTCTCTACCTTGTGTTATGTGGAACTCTCACACACATAGAATAAATTATAAAAGCAGAATAATACTGTGGTATCTCACAAATTACTAGCAGAGCAAAGAGGTTAGGTATGCTAACAACAGGAACTTCTTTAACTTTGGGTTTTAAGATGTCATTCCCCAAAAGTTGCAACAGTTGTGTCAAAGAAAGAGACAAGGCAAAAGTTCATATAAAAAAACAATGTTTAAGGACAAAATTGTAATTTGCAATACAATGAACAATACGGCAAATGATCTGTATGTATATTAGAGTAAAAAGAGTGAGACTGGCAAAAGCTACAATGAAGGGTTTAATAATAAACAATCCCACGTTTAATTTAAGCAAGATCTAGTAATAAAAATTTTTAATAACATTGAGAACTTCAAATTCTAACTTGGACTTCCCTGAAACAACTACTCAATAACCAATTCTAGAAATATATGGAGCAAACATTTCACTAATAGTAATAGAAGCTCCTGCTAAAATACTGAAAGTTACACAAAACCCAATGTGCCAATAAGCCCTCAGATCTTTAGCATAAAAAAAAAACATGATTGGTTTTTGTTAGTCCATCTAGATAGCGAACAGTGCAGACCAGACAACTATTTTCTGATTCGCCAACCAGAATATCCGAGCTCACTACTTAATAACAGCTGTAAGTCTTTAACCATTCCTGTAACAGTGTAAGAAAATCAGATACACAAGCTTTAGTCTTTACCTAGAGCTCTTTTTTTTTTTTTTTCAATTACTGGAAACTAAAGTTAGTAACTAACTTGCGAACTTCACTGCATCTGAAAGAGGAACTATGTAAAACAACCAAATTTTAAAGTATTATTTTTTAACTAAAGGAGTTGAACCATATAGTACGCATTCATACTACAATAATATTGCAATGCTGTTCTTTCATTGGTGGTTTCTTTTAAAGTATCTGGTGAAAACAATTCAAATTCCAATCCACAAAACGATAACAAATTAGTTTATTCCTTTACGTTTCTACAAGCTGTTGTAACTTCCTGTAGGCCTAGTTATACAATGACTTTCAAACGGAGATATTACCACTAACGTCAACAATAAACTTGTAAATTTGTTGTAATTGTACAACTTCATGGCAAATCGATCGAGTAACTGAATATACGCGATAATTAACATTTATCCAAATGCTTTATTGAAAGTAAACACTGCTGCAAGCTCAAATTGAAGAAACTGACTACAATTTACTGATTAACACATACTATTCATTCACTATTCGCCACGCGATGAATGCAAAACACTGATTCTCATATCTATAATTTAGCCTCGTCTCTGGATACTTCTCGAACTTACTAATACTAGCTGTTCGTGATTTAGAACCTTCTAAGTCTACTCGGCTACTCCTACAAACGTACGTTATATCTAGCTGATATCTACATTAAAATGCTGAAAATACATCCCACAACAATACTATATCAAAATATGAATGTTTTTTTTTATCGTTGTTGTTAAACACAAAGCTACACAACGGACTATCTGTGCTGTGCCCATCACGGGTATCAAAATTGAGTTTTAGCGTTTTAAGCCTTCAGACTTACTGAGAGACAAAGAAAAGAGAAATGCCGGTATATTGATAGACTTAATGTATTGTTGCGTCATCGAGGTCACGTGACTGGTGTGGCGCCACCTATTTTCTAGAACTATCCTGTACCTTGGCGAATGCTCTAGTATTTACTAGATATAGGGTAGTCTGGTATATAAAAGATGGTGACAACGTGACGGAATAATGTGTGTGTAGATAGTGAGTAATTGAACTGCTGTCAGAAGTATTGTTGACGTTCGTTGATATAGCGTGATTGTTGAAAATAAGTGTATCGTAAAGTTGTATTCGGAAAGAATAAATCAGTTTTATTAAGTAAGGATTTGTGTCGCTAAAGTTTCGTCGGAACGAAGTTACGGAAAGTTAACTAACGAACGGAGACGTAACAGTATTTTAAGCCATGTGTGTTAAGTCTATGGGTCTATATATATCCCAAATATACATACAGAAAAACTAAATATCTGTTAAGACTTAGTT